CCCAGGGCCTAGCCAGGCATGAAGGGCATAGAGCACTGAGCAGGGAAAGTCAGTCAGTCATTACCCCCCACGTGTGAGGAAGGGGTAGGGGTAGCGGTGTGTGTGTGTGGGGGGTGTGTGTGTGTCACCCCTCCCCGTGTTTGTGGTGGGAGTAGAGGTGTGTGTGTCCACTGGCCAGTTCTGTGCCCCCCCACTGCAGCATGTGGTCCAGTGACCCTCTCTTGGCTAGGGCAACACAGACTGGCATCTGCACTCATGTTTCTGGTTCATTTTGGTGACTGGATCTGGGTCGGGCACAGGCTGGGTCGCCCCTCGGGGACTGAACCCCTGCCCATTGCAGCTCTGCCATGGTTGGCGCAGGGCGACAGGACCATATGCACTGAAAATCCGGTGCCATGTGTAGGGTGACCAGATAGCAAGTGTGAAAAATCAGGATGGGGTGGGGGTAACAGGCATCTATACAAGACAAAACCCCAAATATTGGGACTGTCCCTATAAAATTGGGACATCTGGTCATCCTAGCCATGTGCCTGGCCCTAGACCCTGGCAGGGGCACCAGTTCACATGGCAGTGGATCTGTGGAACAGCAAGGTCTGTGTGGCCTGCCCCACTGGGTGATGGTTGTGGGCAGCTCATGCAGAGTCCTGGGGTAGCATCCTGACTGGCACCACTGCTGGCGTGGGAGTGTTTGGAGTGCAGGGTCCTGTCTGCTGTCTGTCCTGAAGCTGGACTAATATGAATAATGACACTGTAAATAAAATGTATTTAAGTTTTTCATGTTTTTTATTTTTAAAATGTTTTAAACAGTTTTACATTTGCCCCAATTTCATACAAAAACATAATTGAAGCACTAGTAATTCATATGAGAAATGTGAAGGGTGAGATAGTGTGAAGGTTCCCTTTTAATGGGAGCAGCACATGGCTGATGTTTTGGCCAGCTTTGGCTTTTGTTAGCTGTTTTTATCCACTGTGTTTTATTTTTTCTTTTAGAATGTATTTTATGTACACTTCTGTGTATTCTTTTTGCCCTAGGGCTACCATTGCTGGTACCCTAGTGACAGCCACCTCCATCTGCAATTTAAATCTGTAAACATTGTAAATGAAACTTGTACAACTGTGTGATGTGTCAAAGACAACTTCTGTGTCAATCACTTGTCTTTTACAAACATTCCCCCTGGGAGCCCATAAATACGTTTAGCGTCAGGCCCACAAAAGGTTAATCCGGTCCTGAGTGTGGACAGTGCTATGATGGCAGGAGAGGGTCTCCCACCACCATAGCTACTGCCTCTCACAGAAGTGGTTTTATTATGCCAACTGCTGGCATAGAGAAGAGCTCTCTCCTGTTGGCATAGAGTGTCTTCACCCAACATGCTACAGTAGCTTCTAGTTGTAGCTTCTAGTGTAGACTAGCCTTTGTACCTGGCATCAGTTTAAACTCTGCAACTGATCTCAGCTATATGCTTTAGAATGTGATTTTGCTCAGAACCAGGGATTCTAGTTTTCCGTGATAAATATTTTTTATTGAAGAATTTTGATATAACATAAAAGTCCATATTTTTCTGCAATTAAAATGAAATGATGAAATTTAGTTTCCCTAGCCACAATATATATAGGTATCAACTGAACTAAGGCAACCACACACTCCATTTTGGCCAGGACAGTCCCTTTTTTAAGCCCTGTCCCGGACATCCTGACTTTTTGGCAAAACTGGGCATTTGTCCCATTTGCTCTTGCCAACTGAGCAGCAAACAAGACAAATGACTAGTTTTGCCAAAAAAGTGGGATGTGCCCCCCTATGGGGGCACAGAGGAACGTACAGGGGGGCAAGCGGCGACAGGGCTCGGGCTGTAATCACCAGCCCAGGACACCTCAGGCCAGCCGTATGTAGTCTCCCATTTTCACTTTGGGAAATATGATCACACTATCTTTCAGCAAAATTTAGTTAATAGTTACTATATGTTTTTTTTTTTCACAAAATGTAAAAACTAAAGATTCCCTGTAAAAATGCAAAGTCTATATTTTTCAACATTTTTTCCGAGGCAAATGGATTTCTAGGATCTCTGCTCATAACAAGCAAAGCGCTATGGCACAAATACTGTGCATTATAGAGATACATGAAGTTTGTTTTATACAATAGCATTTATACATATTAATCCCATGGATGCATGAAACACCCTGGAAAACAAAGGCAATGAAAACTGAATGAAAAGGACTTAAAATTATATTTTTGCACTCTTAAAAGCTTTGTAAACTTTATATTCAAGTAAACTTGTGTATTAATGACACCCGAGTTCCAGAAACTTTACATCACTGCTGTTTGGTTAAGTCATTCATAATTCATTTTCATCTTTACGCTTTTTAAAAGCAACATAATGTTTACAAACGTAATTATTAGTTTCAGAGTTCACTGTAACCTGAAGGCTCTTATAATAAGAGCATGTTTTATATACTAAATCAACTTGATACATAGTCTCCCTGTCTTCCAAGGTAGTTTTATCAGCCCCTAGAGGCAACCAAACCACTACTACTGCTTCAAAAACTCCATTAGTAGTTCAGAGTGATTTGGTGATTTTAAAGGGGCAATATTTTTACAGGCTGTTTCAGCTGTAAAGTTAGCTATTCCCAGAAGTAGCAGTGTTTCTAAATTCCAAAGTGAGCCAAGTCCAAATATTATAATATTGTATTTCTATTTTTATTATGCTCCACTGTATAGCTTAAAAAAACTGGTAAAGAACGTAAGAAATTTTCCTCATCACTGGGTTTTAATCATTGCTTAATATGAAAAAATATTGTAAAAAACATTTTATAGCTAAGTAATATGCATCAACTTCATTTTAACAATTAAAGCAACGCTGACATCTAGTGGTAACCTGAATGATAGTATAAAATAGGTAGGATTAAATTTTTAAAATGTGAAGTGTAAAATAAAAAATAAATCATACAGTAATAGGAAACTTGAGCAGATGCAAACAGTGCAGTGACTTTTAAAACACTGCAAGAGACATTCATTGTAGTTCAGTAAACAAAATAAATACAGGTGACAGGTTTTATTTTTTCAATTTTAAAACTCACTATCTGTAAATGCTTAAGATGCATATTATCAAGGACTTAACTTCAGTAGATCTGAAGGTAATCCCCTTGAACATATTCTTTCAAATGGAGGTCTGAACTCCAAATTTCAACGCACAGAGATTTCAAAGATTTTTCCCTTCAGTGATCAATACTCATGGTCTTTTTCACAATGGTTGAGGGTACTGTATTTGAAAGTGACGACAGGAAAATAGAGACACAAGGAATACAAAGAGGTTTGCTGAACTTTTTTCTGTATTTTGCTGCCTTTTTTTCCGCCCCCCTCTGTCAGGTTCTGGACATAAATTTTTAGTTTGCTATCGTTTTCCTCACTTCCTGTCCTAAATCATCACGTGGACTGTTAAGCAGGTATTGTTACATCTGAAAAATCTTGCCATTTCAATCTAGGATGAAGGGATCATTTTTCTAAAGCACTTTAGGATCCTCTTTACTTGCAAAAATAAACCCAATACTAAAAAAAACCCACTTTAGTTCATTCAGATGTGAGAGTTGCTCCCAACTATAAGATTATTGCCTACTTACGGGATGTTAACCTCTCTTCCTTCCCTTGTGTAAACAAGCATGTCTATATTCCCTCTTGATGAACATATCTATGCTGACTTTTCTGGTTCCCGGCCAGTGACATTCTGAGGTGTCAACATTAACAAAGTATACCAGGAATCCATTTTTAATAGCCAACACCTTGTTCCTGCCATTGGAGCTGTGCAAATATACCCAGGCGAGGAGCCCACTGAAGTTAACAGGGGCTCCATGTGGATGCAAGGACTGCCTGCATGGACGCAATTACAGAAATGGGGCCTGAAAAAAGGGCAGTTAGAACATATTTAATTAATATAGTATTGATCAGCTCAGGTAAATACATAATTAGGAAGCGTTTCATACAAGGGCAGCAAGAATCCTAGAGATTTAGTGCACATAGCACTTTTTTTTTTAAATAATAACTTTTTGAACCCAGTTTACTAGAGACAAAAGTTCAGTTCAATAACCCCACCACAGTATGTTACTTCACAATTTCATTTTAAATATAAACTTTTATTTTAAAGGTTCAAAAAATGAGGAAGAGAAATTATTTTAAGATCTTTGAACAACTGTGGTTTAAAAAAAATCAATTTTAGTTCTAAGCTAAGGTTCTGTGATCCAAATTTCTGACTAATGCTCATTCTAAACCAGTGATAATACATTTATGTGATAAAAATGCAGACAAAAGCTATTCCGAAGCAAATGAAGATGCATTACAAATGTTAAAGTGTGCCCCTGAAAGTGATCCTTCACATTAACTTAAACTGATGTACCTACTTCATCAGAAAAAACAGAAAAACTAAAAAAACTTATACCATTAGACCCTATTTGTAAGCTTTTTCCATTCAACAACTTCTTTTATTATTTCAGATCAAATTCCACCCACACAAAAAGAGTTTTACATACTTTATTCACTACAGTATGTAATTCAACATGAAAATCCCACTTGGTGATCATCATCATATGCCATCAGTGATATCCTTGAGCTTAAACCATGTCCTCAGAAACTGCACAGAGAAGAGTAAACAAATGTATTCTGAGGGCTTGTCTATTTGCTAGTCTGCATCAGAAGGGTGTAAATTCTAGCATGCACTAGCATGTCGTGCACTAACTGAGTGACGTGGACTCTTCTAGTGTGCACTAAAATCTCCCTAATGTGCATTCATTTAAAACAGTACTACATTAAATGTGCACAACGGAAGGGTCCACACGGGTCAGTTAGTACACGTCACAATTTACAGCTCTCTGATATAGACTAATGCACTATGTAGACAAGCCATGAGATAGGCTAACAAAATAAAATGGATTATAAATATAGGCTCAGTAGAAAGGTAGTAAAATATTGTACAGAAATATGCAAGCAGCGCGCAGTAGATTTTATCTACACATACCTTTCCAAGCACTTCAGCCTGTTTTAAAATATTGCGCTCTAAATCTTCTGCTCTTTTTGAATGAAAAGAGTTACTTTGACTCTGGATGACAAATACAATTTCTTGTAATTCTGTGAACAAGGAAATAAAAATATTTAAAGAAAACAGAAATAAACATAAGTTCCGCACCACTGCTAAAGAGAACTTTGAGGGGGAAAAGCAAGACATATAATCATAACTGATTTATTTAATTAATAATAAAAATGCATAAACAAACATACAATTGTTTTATTTTCTTAAACCGCCCCAGTTTTAACTGTTTGTATGAAAGTAGAACACTAAATTTGTCATGGTATTATAATATTGCCAACCTTAAGAGATCAAAAATCATGAGACTGGCCCACCAAAACATGAGATTTTAAAAACCATCAAAACATGGGTTTTAGTCTGTCTTATATTAATCACATAAGCAATAATGTCATAGTAAAAATATGGAATTGATTTAGCCTTTTGCAAGAAGCAACACTTCCCTAACCTCCTCCCACTTCTCTACCCGAGACTGGGCAGCACTCACTGAGCCCCACCACACATGCTCTTCTTTGCCCATCACTATGACAGACCATCCTCCTCCTCCACTCTCCTCTCCACCCCTCTCCTCCTGTTCCCCCCTTTCTCCTGCACCCCCTAAATCCATCACCTTTTCCCTCTCATTCCCACTATCTACCTTTCACCGTGTCTATGCTGCTCCTCACAGTCCATATGTCCCGACTAGCCTGCTGAACCACAGAGTGGCAGCCATCATGCCTGAGGATATGGCTTCAGTCTCACTGAAAACAATGGGAGATGGCAGTCACTTTTATTAAGGGCAGCCTCATTTCAACTTGCAGATTGTCACTTCCCTGCAGTCTACCATCTTGCGGTCTTCAGTTCCACTGACAATAATCAGAGATGGTGGCCATTTTGAATAAGGAAAAATTAATCACTTGGCAGCCTTTCATCTTGTTTTCATGAGACAGGTAAAAAACCTCCCCCAAAATTGATAAAAACAACATGAGTTGGCAATACTGGTATTACATCAGGCCCCAAGCAGTTCTATCGATATGCCTGTAGCCACAGCATTGCTGAACAGCTGAACAATGCTGTTGGTGCACCACAGGGAATGCATTATGTACAACCACCACCTAGATAGCACTTACAGAACTGCCCCTCTGTTGAAGGGGGTATGCATTCTAATTTTAATATCCTGCAAGACTAGCTTGGAGAAAATAAATATTCTTAATTTACTTTAAAAAAAAGGGGGGGAAACACTTTTATATCACATTATCAAGACAACCTATCAGACTATGGTGTCACTTTTAAGTCCTGTGGGATAAAGCTGCTAAGATAACCACAGAATTGCTACAAGAGGAAGGAGTGAAGATGGGAGACTAACTCCTAAAGAAAGGCGGAGAAATGGAAGGAACGACAATGAAAGAGAGAAAAAGAAGAGAAGTAATTTCAAGGAAAAGAAAAGATAAACTATGTGAACAAAGAGCACAGAGAAGAAAACAGCGTCAGAAAAGAAAACAGTATCAGAAAAACTTTTAACTAATGCAGTTTCAACTCAAAATTTCTGCTACTGTAATCCAAGGAAGAAATATCCAGAGGTTAAATATCTATTTATTAATCCCTCCTCCACACCAAAACACATTTGTTATTGTTAAAGTCCTAGGACTCAGAGAGTTGCGTCCTGGGGGGTAGCGGAGGATACCCTACCCCAAATTACAGGTTATATGATATGGAGACCTGTAACCCCTGCACTGGAACCAATTAAATGCCTGGTATACATGGGCAGCAGGTATCAAAGGCCGGGGGAGGCTGAGCCTCCCAAAACAGCCTTCTGTGGCCCTGCCCTTGCTCCATCCCCAGGCTCCCTCCTGCTTCCCAGCGCTCTGCAGCTCTTCCCCCATGGCCTGGGCCCTCGGCTGGGGCTAATGGGGACCGGCCTGCGGCCATGGACTACAGGCGTCTGGAGCCAGTGCACGCACCTGGCACTGCAGGGCAGGAGGCACTGGGGACTGTGCCGCCTGCCTGGCATTCTGGGGCTGGAGGTGCTAGGCTCCGGTAGGGGCAGGACCTCAGGCACAAGGGGCGGGGCGGGGCTAGCCTGCCTGAGCCCGTGGTTCACCTGCCGCCCATGCTGGTATAGGAAAGTATGGGTAATAAGCAGGTAGCGACCCTCCCGTGTTAAAGTTGTGGCCTGCCGCTTAATTCCATATATGTGTCTGTCCTCACTTTGCCGCTGTGTCCACATCAATGTTAGTTCTTTTCATACTTGCCTCCATCCATGACTCTGAGACCACCTCCGTGACTCATTAAATGTGCAATCCTAACTCACTCCATGTCGGGCTTTGACAAGTTTGTGCTCCTGGTGTAGTGGAAGGCATAACTATGTTGGGGCCAGAACAAGCTTTCAAGTTTCACAGAGCTCTTCCCATCTGGGGACGGTAACCGGAGCATCTAAGCTAAATACAAGTTGGGACAAATTGTTACCCATAAGGGGTTCAGGCATACTTGTCTCTCATATCCTGGGACCAACACAGCTACAACAACACTGCAAACAACTAATAACTATAGTTATCCCCTGATGTCCTTCATTTCTCCCTCACAGCCTTGCTTTACCTCCAGGCCCACCGCACACACATACAAAAAAAGATAGTGACTTCTTGAAAAGAATCTGCAGTGAAAGGTTATGAATATAAATTATTTGCTATCTAAAAGCATACATTTTCAGTGCACAGATTTACACAACTTCCATTGATGTTAATGGGGGTCACAAGGCTAAATCTGTATGTATGCCTCTGAAAATATATCCCTAGAGATGAATAATGAAAATTAGATAGCTTTATACAATTACTAATTTAGTAGTAGATTTATAGATATGGCAGTGTCTGAACTAGACAGTTTTACTTGTGGTACATTTAGCAGCAAATGGGGATGTACTGGAGAAGAACGCTCCCTAGGATGAATCCAATATCCACTTTGCTGTTTGTGCACTGGAGACTTCCTTGGAAGTATCCTTTACTAGAGTAAGCAAATGCATAGAAAACCCCATTTAAAGGAATAAAGAAATACATTTGTTTAAAAAAAATTCAATGCACATTTTTATATAAAAACATAAAACAAAACACTTCATGATTAATACTCAGCAGCCCTATTAGTATTTTAGAAGGCCCCCTTCTCCTCCTGACTTGATAAGAACTATTTCACTGCTTGAGAAATAATTGGTTTACTACCAAGTCACTTTTCCTTCTCTTGTTCTTTTTATGTATCTTTTTTGTTTTCCCTCAGAGATAAAAACTATCATTCATCACCTTAAATTTACAGGAATCCTGTTTCTTACTGTTGGTAAGAATATTATCTTCCCCGTAGCAACTTAATAAAAATCATATTATGCAAGCCTTCTTACAAAAGCAAAGTGTTGTGCTCAGTTTTGCTTGAGATGTAATTGCTCACGTGTCTGAATAATAACTATTTTACTGTGATTATTTGTATTGCCAATCAGGAATTGGGGCACCATTGTGCGAGGCACTGTACACTCCTAACAAAAAGGCTATTCCTGTTCCAAAGAGCTTACATTCTAAGTAGGAGCTCATTACTGAAAAGCTTTACTACATCTAGCACTGTCCTCAGAATTATCACTGCAATGCCCCAGGCACTGCCATACCAGAACAGACCAATGACCCTGCATCTGGTACCCTATCTTTGAGAGCTGTCAATACTTGTGCTTCAGAGGATGCTGCAAAGTCACTTAAAATAGTCTGTGCAATAATAAAATATAAGGGTAACAATTCTCCCTGACCCCTATTAGCATCAATATCTCAACATCACAACAGATCTCATAGCTAAGCAGAGTTGAGGTTAGGTAGGTACGTGGAAGTGCCTTTAGTAATGCATGCTTTAGAAAACCCAAATGTCCATTCAGTAAAGTGACACTTCCTTTTGAATCAGTATTGAACAAGTGCTTAAACATGATGGCGGGGGGAATGATACCAAAAGAGGCATTTTTCACATGAGAAAAAAATAGGTCCTTACTGCAATTAAAAGTCCAACAGTAATTTTTACAACAGGTAGGAATGCAAGTGTCCTCTAATCTAGGTAATTAGATTACCTGCACTCTAAAACAGGGTTTATCAACATGTGGGTCACGACCCAAAATTGGGTCACCAGAATGTTTCAAAGAGATGCACAGCATCTCCTGTCCCACGGGCTGGCTGGGCTTGCCGCCCCACTCCAGGCACTGCAACCTCTGGGATCACAGCACCACTCAGGTTTAGCCCAGCGGTCATGATGACGGGAGTCCGGATAGACCAAATTTGAATGAGGGGCACTGCAATCCCATGAGCCAGGTCACAAAATTTTGTCCAGTCAGGAGGACGGGGCCAAACCTGAGTGGCACTGCAACCCCAGAGGTTACAACCCCTGAGAGTCAAGCCCAGCCAGCCCCACAGCACAGGAGCTTCAGGAACTGCCATTGTGGGGTGAGTGCTGGACAGGAGCCAACACCCCCACTCTCCCGGGGACAGGATCCAACTGAAACCACCCCAGGGCCTCCACCCTCAGACAATTTACTGGATTGCAACAAGCCATAAACATTTACAAATGGGTCCTGAGCCCAAAAAAAGGTTGAGAATCACTGCTCTAAAACTAGACCTGAAGTTGGTTTTGAACAGCTGTATATAGTGCTGTGTACTGTAAGCGCCCATAAGTCAAACAGGAGATGAATCTACCTCAATGGCTGGAGAAGAGAATAATACATTTATAAATATGTTGGGTAAAGTGTATTGGGATTTTTCTGGATGAAAAGTGGAATATAAATGTATGATTCATCACTCCAGCTGGATATCAGCTCATACCCTGCAGCATGAGGATTAAGAGAGTTAGTGTAACTGCAGACATTATTCTCATAAATATAAATGTCTACTTCTCTTCTATTTTTGTCTGCAGTGTTGTTGTAGCAATGCTGGTCCCAGAATCAGAGACACAAGGCAGATGAGGTAATACACCTCTACCTCGATATAACACTGTCCTCGGGAGCCAAAAAATCTTACCGCGTTATATCGAACTTGCTTTGATCTGCCGGAGTGCGCAG